CCGTTGGACAGAGGAGTGCCAGAAAGCCTTCACCGACCTGAAAGCCTATTTGGCCGAGCTGCCAACTCTGACCGCCCCAGAGATGGGGGAGACCCTATTCCTATACCTGTCCGCTTGCAACGAGGCCGTCAGTACGGTCTTGGTGCGGGAGGACAGGGGGGCTCAGAGACCGGTGTATTACGTCAGCCGAACTCTACAGGGGCCAGAGACGCGATACTCTCCAGCCAAGAAGCTGGTTCTTGCCTTGGTGCATGCTGCTCGCAAGCTCCGCCCTTACTTCCAGGCTCACAGCATTGTGGTTCTGACCGACCAGCCCCTACGACAGATACTCACCAAGCCCGAGGTCTCGGGCAGGATGACTAAGTGGGCCGTCGAGCTGGCCGAGCACGACCTTAGTTATCGGTCTCGCACCGCGGTCAAGGCTTAGGCCTTGGCAGACTTCCTTGCTGAGGGGCTAACTTAAACCTGGCCGAGTTAGCCCCGACACCTGCGGACGCCCCGACGGAGGAGCCGTGGGTGCTGTTCGTGGACGGTGCCTCGAGCAAGGAGGGGAGCGGAGCTGGCCTGCTGCTCACCTCGCCTACTGGGGAAGAGCTGACCTATGCGCTTAGGTTCGATTTCCCGGCATCCAACAACGAGGCAGATTACGAGGCCCTGTTGACGGGGCTGCGGATAGCCCACCAGATGGGCATCACTGCGATCAGAGTTCGGAGCGACTCTCAGCTCGTCGTCCTCCAGGTTCGCGGGGAGTATGAAGCCAAGGACGACGTTATGAAAAAATACCTGGCTAAGGTACGGGAGGTAGTAGCCCTGTTCGGGACTTTTGAAATCGAGCCGGTGCCAAGGTCCCAAAACAAGCGCGCGGACGCCCTGTCAAAGCTGGCATCCTCCTCGTTCGCCCACCTGAGCAAGGAGGTCTTGGTAGAGGTGGTGAAGCACAAAAGTATCGACCTGGTCCAGGTCCTGGCGATAGACAGCTCGGCCACCTGGATGGCTCCCCTCATCGACTTCCTCAGCTGGGCTCCCTTCCCGAGAGTAAAACCGAAACCCGCCGGATCCAGCTCAGAGCTGCCAAATACGCCTACGCCGGGGGAACCCTCTACAGGAAGTTGTACTTGTCCCCCTGGCTAAAGTGTGTGACTCCCGAGGAAGGCGACTACGTTCTGCGCGAAATCCATGAAGGCCTATGTGCGGCACATGTAGGATTTCGAGTGCTGGCAAAAAAGTGTCTTCTTTTGGGCTACTACTGGCCCTCCGTCTTCCGAGATGCCGCAGAACTGGTACAGAAATGCCGAGCTTGCCAGGTGCACGCCTCGCTGCGCCACCAGCCAGCTCGGGAAATGATCCCCATTCATAGTCCCTGTCCTTTCGCCCAATGAGGGATAGACCTCCTAGGTCCCTTCCCCCGAGCTCCTGGAAGGTACGAGCACCTCGTGGTGGCCATCGACTACTTCACGAAGTGGATGGAGGCAGAGCCCCTGGTCTCTATTTCGGAAAAGACGATTCAGAAGTTCTTTTGGAAGAATATAGTCTGTCGCTTCAGAATTCCGCATGTTCTGATATCTGACAATGGGCGCCAGTTCGCCGAAAACCCCTTCAAGGACTGGTGCGCCGAGCTTGGGATCAATCAGCACTTCACGTCGGTCGGCCATCCCCAGGCTAACGGTCAGGTGGAGAATGCCAACCGAACCATCTTGCAAGGACTAAAAACTAGGCTGGAGCTAGCCCAGTCTAATTGGCTAGAGGAGCTCCCTAGTGTTCTCTGGGCCTATCGCACCACGCCTAGGGCGGCTACCCACGAGACACTGTTCTCCCTGACATATGGGGCGGAGGCAGTGGTCCCCGCGGAGATCGGCCTCCCATCTTCTCGAACCCAGAACTTCGTTGCGACAGCCAACGAAGAAGAGCTGAGGTGCAATCTGGACAGGCTAGAGACCAAGCGGGAGGAGGCAGCTCGCCCGCTACCACAACGCCCGAGTAAGGAGCATTCAGTTCCAGCCGGGGGATCTGGTCTTGCGAAAAAACTCAATCAGCAGAGCTTGCAGTTCCAACAAGCTCGACCTAAACTGGGAGGGTCCGTACAAGGTCATTGAGGTGAGCCGGGCTGGCTACTGCAGGCTCGCCAAGGCAGATGGATCTGAAGTACCTCGTACTTGGCACTTCTCCAATTTGCGACTGTTTGTAGCATAGGTTAGACCAGTGTGTTCAGGAATTTTTGTTTTCTCATTCAATAAAAGCCCGACTTCACAGTTTCAATTTCACTTGTACTTGTTTCATTTTAAGATTTAAAAAAAAAAAAAAGTCTGCACCTTACACTAGCACACTTAGCGTTCCTCGCTCAATGTCCTAGTGGGGGGCTAGGGGTACTAAGCAGCCCAGTGTGAAGTGCCAAGTGTGAGTGTGAAGCGTTCGACCCAAGAGGTCGGCACGAACGCACTCAATGTTTAAGTACTCATCCAGGTGTGAAGTGCTCGGCCCAGGAGTTCGGCACGACGGAGGAAAACTTGAAAGCTTGGGAGGATTCTAGAAACTCCTCGCTCGACCCAGGAGGTCTGCGAAAGAGGGGTTCGGTGCCCGACGCGCGATCGCGAGAGGTCGGCAAGGGGCCTTCGGGTCCGGGGGCTCCGCGTTCGACCCAGGAGGTCAGCAGGAACGCCCTTAGCGTTTAAGTGCTCAGCCCCAAAAGGCTGGCACACCCCCTTAGTGGGTCTATTTGGTGCTCGACCCTAGAGGCCGGCGCATGACTTTAATAGTTAGATTGCCGCTGGGCAACTCCATTGCTGGATGGGAAGGGTGACGTATTCGGTGCTCGGCCCAGGAGGTCGGCACTTGGCGTTACTCGCAGGCAAGAAAAGCAGAATGATTCTTCGAAATTTCGCATATGCATTCAAAGCCTATCTATTACAACGCTTCCGAGTTGCCTATCTATTACAAAACTTCCGAGTTGCCTATCTGCTACAAAATGTGCCGAGCTGTGAGGAGAAAATAGCTCGAGCCCCTCCTTCTTGCTGGTAGCCCGCCTGGAGCAGGAGCTGGAGAGGCACCTTAAACATGCTGAGAGGCGTATGGTGAGGGCTATCCAATCGAACCTTCCCGTCTCAGATGGACCCCCAAGATTCAACTGGAGCATGGTCACATCCTTATAAGAATACGGAAAGGGTTTCTGGAGTGGTCGCCGCCCTAGACCACCGGCTCCTTCCCGGCAGCTCTGCCAGGAGACTCGCCCTCCTCCAAGGGAATCTCCTCCAGCACGGCCCCGGTGTCGGTCCGGCCCGCCAGCTCCTTCAGGGAATGCCCCTTGCGATACCCATCGAAGAGCCAGTCCAGCCTCGCCTCGGCCGCGGGGTTGTAATCCTTGAAACTCGCCAAGTCGAGGCCGGGAGGGTTGAGTTTCTTCACCTGGTCCAGGGCCCGGGTGCAGCCGACCTGGAGGATGGGCAGGTTGAGGTGAGCGATGTCCTCCTCAAACTGATCGGAAGTAAGGAACTTCGAACAGCCTTCTTCCGCTCCCGGCTGACAGTGCCGGAGAGCTCGATGGCGTGCTCCTCCCTCAGCTTGGCCACGCGGGCCCTTTCCTGGTCGAGCTCTGACCTGGTGGAGGCGAGCTGGACCTGAGCGGTGTCCAGCTCCTTCTCGGCCTTGCCCAGTTTGGCCTTAAGGGAGCTTGACTCCTTAAGGGCCTGGGATAGCTTCTTCTCCGCCTCCAGGTTCTTCTTCCGTAACTTCTCCAGGTCGGGAGGCAGCTCGGAGAAGCGGGTCGCCAGGGCGGCACCAGCAGCGTTGGCCTGAAAGGGGAAGAGAACAGGTCAGCACGTCGCACTACTTAACCGAGACATGGAGGTAAAACTATCCCAGGGGCTAGACTTACTTGAGGTTGGACGGTGTAGTACGCGTCCAAGAGCTCGGAAGGGTCGGCCAGCTCCATCCACCTCCTGTCGCGAGGGAGGACCGAGCCCACCATCAGCTCGGGAGCCACCTCGGGAAACTGGGCTCGGTCGTTGATGGAGAGCCCCTAGAGCGGGCAGAAGTGGCGGGGGTCGTGCATCGTGGGGGCTTGGTCCGGCTTCAAAGGAGCCACGTGGCGGAAGTGCCATAAGCTCGGAGGGGTGGACTCCAGAGCGTGCTCCTCGGCGGAGCCCACGCCCAGATGGACTGGCCCCCCCGAGGCCAGCGCAAGCGGAGGGGGTTGGGCTGGAACCACTGCGAGTTTCTTCGTGGGCTGGGAGGGCTCGTCCCCTCGACCCCTCTTCTGCCCGGCCGCCTTTTTGTTGGCAGCCTTCTTGGTAGGGGAAGGGGTTCCCTGTGTTTCTTTCTGGGGGGCTGAGCCGTCCCCCGGGGTGGAAGCCCCTCCTGGGGCCCCTTGGACAGTCTCGGGCTGGGGGTCGGAAGTGACCCCCCCGAGGGACGCGCCCAGCAGCTGGGAGAGCTTTCTCACTGCAACAAGCACAACCAGATAAGTGAAAGACAGGGCAGTTTAAAAAACCACAATAAACTGTAAATACAACAGGGGCAAAGCCAGCGTTACAGGTGTCGAGTTTGGGCTGGGGGGTAGCCACTTCCCCAGAGGATCCGGACACCGTCCCCATCAGCCCGGCTGCGGAGATCTGCTCAGTGGAGATCCTGGTGACATCGAGCTTCACCTTGGAGCCCAACAGCTAGCCGAGGGTATCGTAGTCCAGGTCCTCTGGATAGGGGTCGGCCTTGACTCCCACAACCTTCCACACATTGGGGGAAAAATGTGTGGACCTGACAAAGAAGAAGTCCCCCTTCTAGTCCTTCACGGAGGAGGGGAGCCCATAGAACAGCTCCTGGGCCCCTTTTCCTCCCTTGGTCTGGGGACCACGGCGGGAGAAGTAGTACCATCCCGGGAGGGCGGTCTTAAAGATGAAGGCAGCTCGGAAGAGGGAGAGAGAGTAGGGGATATCGCAGAGGAGGCAGTAGATAAGGAATCCGGTAATGATCCTGATGGAGGTGGGGTGAATTTGGGTGATCCTGAGCCCTCAGTGGTTCAGGATCTCGGTAAGAGCTGAGGGAATGGGGAGACGGAGCCCGGCGATGAGCTGCTCCCTATAGATGGCTACGAAGCTCGGGGGAAGTCTGCAGGCCCGGTCGTTAGGCCCGGCCGCCCTCGGCTCGTAGACCGGAGGAATGGAGTAAGATTTGGCTAGCTCGGCCACCGCCTTGGAAGATAGGGTGGCCTCCTGCAGGTCGACATGACCATAGGAGAGCTCGGGGTCATCCCCCTGCTCTGAAGCAGGGGTCCCCTCAGAGGCGTCCCTATCCTCCCCGGCTCCACCTTGGGCTCCGCCGGAGGAGTCGTGCGGGGACCTGGGGGGAGGCGTAGAGGTAGCCTGCCGCGCGATGAGGGCATCTAGCTCGGCTGCCTCCTCAACGGCTCGGGCCGAAGGAGAACGGGCAGAAGGAGAACTCATGATGACTATGGGATTGAGCAGGTCAGGGTTAGAGGCAGAAGAAGAGGAAGGAGGAGGAGGAGAAGGCAACGACGAGGGCGAAGATGAGGAAGAAATGAAAATTCTGGTGGCTCTGCGACGGACCGGAGACGGGGAGGCGGTGGAAGTGACGTCGGAGTGACCCGACATAAAAGAGATGGTAGAAGCAGGAAGGAACACTGAAGGAAAAGGAGAAAGGAATCGCGAAGGGACTTACTGATGATCAAGGCGGAGGGAGGACGGAAGACTCGCCGGAATCTGGGCACGGGACACCGGAGGTTGCTGGGAAATGCAAATGCACAAGGGAAATGGGGATGCCAAAACGCGCAAGAGAGAGGAAAAATGGCAAATGGAGTCGATTGAAATCTGATGACCCCTATTTATGAGGAAGGGAAATGGGGGGAAAACGGTTGCGTGAATTTGAGCCGGCCCCCATGTGAACGCATTTAATGTTGGTACGAAAACCGAAGAGGCGGGACAATTGAAAGGACGCGGGCGCAGCGTCCCTATGACAGCACTGTGCCAGAGGTGACCTGGGCAGGGTAGTGCGCGGACCTGACCTCCCACGTGGCAGAGGTTGATTAGGTCTGCCTGACAGCCTACCTAATCAAGGGGGTTAGTGCAGTGGCCCCGTTCTGGGCCTAGACACGTGGCAGCCCAGGACTAGCCGAGCTGGGCTTCGGACCTTGGTGTCCGGGCAGCCCTCTTGGGCCGCCCTGCTAGGGCTCGCAAGGGGGGCAGGAGTCCATCCCGAGGAGATCGGAGACAATCCCCCTGAGTGCGGGATGCTGGCTGTCCTGGGCAAGTCCCGAAACGCACGGAGGTCGGACTCCCTCACAGGTATAAATAGTAGCACGCATCAACTGTACAAGGTACGCTCACTATAGGCAAATTACTCTCGGTTGTTATTACTTCCCGTGAATCCTACTCACCGGAAAACTAACTTGACCGTCGGAGTGCCCTCGGGGACGACCCTCGGGCCCCCTCTCCCGGCTCATCCTTGTTTGTTTTGCAGGCTTAGGACCAGCTCTTCCATCAGCACCCCGAGCTCGTCAGTCCAGCTCGGTCCGGGGAAGCTCAGCGCTTCTTCAAGAAGCTTCCAAGGCAGATGCTTCCTCAACTCTGTCAGAATCAATGCAACCGAAAGCAGTATATCTTTGAGATTAGTAATGCATGGATAGAAGTAGCTCAAGCGTCACAAGCTCCAAACCTTGGGTAAACTTACGCCAGGTATAACGCGGTGCTGTGTTTCTATCTTCCCTTTGTACTTTTAAAGGCAACCGTGATCAGAACAACTTTTTACATTTTCTTTCTTCACTTTCGGTTTTTGTCAGCAGAATCACTCAGTGTTTCTAGTGGCCTCTTTGCCCTTTTGTTTTTTCCTTGTCTGTCTCTACCCTGTTTTTACCCTGTGTCTCCTAAGTGTGGTGTGGAATTTCTGTCTAGAAATAGCTGACCCTGTCCATGGAGGGAGATCTATCGGAACTCTTACGGAAATTTACTCTGGAAGGGAATGAACTCTCAGGAGTTACCCTGGAGGTGGAAGACCTGCATAATGGAGTGAGAGCTTGCGAAGGTAGTCTTATAGGAAGAGTTATAGGAGAGAAAGTGATTAACTTTACAGGGATTAAAAGTTTTGTGGCTATGGCATGAGGTTATCCGAGGAATATGACAGTGATGGAACTGGGACCTAATGTGTTTCAGTTCAACATCCCGATTTCTGATGAGATGGAAAGAATTGTTAATGGGGGACCTTGGGTGATAGATAATCAAGTTTTAGTGTTGAACAGGTGGACTGAAGGGATAGAAGAAAACTATAGAGCCTTTATGTTTGCACCCCTTTGGGTGCAAATCTGGAATTTGCCAGTTCACTGGCTTTCTAAAGAAGTTGGAAAAAAGATTGGAGCAATGTTTAAAAAAATTGGAGAGGTGTTAGTACCTCAATCAGGAGGGAAAGTGTGAGAATCCGAGAAAATTATATATATACCTTGAATTTATTTCATTTTATTTACTTTGATATTAGACATATTATATATAACGAATAAACGGTTAAATTAAATGCCTAATTGAAGCCCTATAAAATTGAGAATTGAGAAACTATCCTAGGATGGCATGAGAAATTCTTATAGGAGTATGCAAATTGAAACAAACTAAAGTTTGAGGCAATATTTGAAGATGATAAAATTTCAACTCCTTAGCAAGTAAATAAATTAATTCAAAAGACCATTTTAACCTCAACACTTGAGCAATTAACTATGCAACCGAATTGACCATTCCCGGCTAAGCATAAGACTGAACAGAGGATTAAAATTCGGTGGATTCCATTTGGTATCAATTTGCTAAGAGCAAAAGAAGAACAACCGAGAGCTAAGCTATCTTTTCTCCAAACCCAAAACTGAAAGAAGAAGTGAGAGTGAGGGACAGAAATTTTGCTAGCTTCAACACCTGCTAACCACAATCGAGAGAGAGTAAAGCAAGGAGAACTGGAGCGAGAATCTAGTGCAAGAAATTTGAGGAACCAAAGCAGAGAATTAGAGCTGTCTGCAATTATCGAATTCTAGGGGAAAAGAGGTAAGATTCTGCAATACCTTCCTGCCTATTTAGTATAATTGAATATATACAAGCTACTTGTTGAACTTAGCTAGGAAAATGAGCTCTTGGTTGAAGGAAATTCTGTGTAGCAACTGAAAAGCTGTAGGAAAGGAAAATTGCAGAAACTGAGAGTGAAAATTTAAATCTGCAACTTGTTATCAATATTTCTTTGGAGAATAATGTTAAGAAATGCATGCAATATATTTATCTTAAGTTTATAAGAGGTTTAGCTGGGAAAACTTGTGAAAAGTTGGAAGTTTGAGCTGGAAATTGCTAAAGGAAAGTCACTGGAAATTTTCCAGCTTTAGCCAAGAGATGGAATAGAGTTTTATCTAACTTTTCTTTTCGAATCCCTGGTTATAAATTCTATACTGCTGCTTAAGTTATCTTTTCTTGTAACATAACAACAACCCCTGTATGTTAAGTTGGGAGTGAGAGAATGCATAAAATTGAGAAAGGCAGTTTCATACTTACACTGTTAACATTTGCTAAAGGTTATATGTTGCTGATGACAGGATTATTTGAGGCTAATTGGTGGAACTGCTGCTGGAATTGTATGCAAGTTTGCTTTAGATTAGATTGGACAGAAAATATACTAAGTGTTTAGTGTTTTAAGCAAGTGAAAGATAGAACTTTGTTGAAAATTCTGAGGTAATGTAGCTTGAAACATATGTGCTGGCCGAGGGAGTTAGGAGATAGAGTTCTTGTGTTATTTTGAAATTTCCAAGATAATTGGTTATAAATTTTGTATAAAACATCTTATAACATCTTGTCCTAGTTTTTATGTGCATCTTATTGATTTTTTTAACACTTAAAAAGCTGGTGTAGTGGAACAAAACCCAAACTACAAACAACTTAGAATCTGGTTTAGCTTAAATGGAACAAATGAAGAGTTCATTTGCCTTAATCCTTGAATATTGGATAGAAAATGATTTAATCTTAGTCTAAACATCTTACAAGACTTTAAACTTGGAATATACGTATATTTCTTTGGTTTTTGTTGAAATTTGATGCTTAAATTATATTAAAATTGCTGGTATGAATATCATACTTAAGTCTATGGGTGGTTTGAATAAAAGTCTTGTGGTTTTAAAAGAGAAAAAGGAGTTTTTCACAAGTGAAAAATGAGTTTCCAGATCTTCGGATTTCACTGACCAATTTCAGTAAAATACTTATATCTTGGTGTAGAAAAATCCGATTGAGGTGCCGTCAGCAGCATTTGAAACTAGACTCATGGGCCTTTGTTCTGTACAAATGTCATATTTTTCCTCCATGTGTACTGCTGTCCGTGACTCCTCAAAGTAGGCTGTCCAGCTTGAATGTCCTGTTTCTTCAGGAAAATGAATTTTTGACTTGGATCGAATATTTGGCCTATTTGTGATTTGAATCTCTGAAAAGTGTCTTCTGGGATGTGGTAGTACTAAAAATCTATTTTGCAACGGTATAACTTTCATAATTTTCGACTTGTGGAACTTGAGTTGTGAATTTTTAAAATTTACTGTTACTGTTCATCTCAGTAGATTCCTGAAGCATAGAAACGGGTTTCTTAACTTTAAAACCTCGGATGGCCTACTTCCAATCTCTTACCTTAATTTTTCCACTTCCTTGACTTCAAATGTATCCCTATTGAACTTCTCTCGCTAATGTATCACTCCTTTCCTCAAAGTTTTACGCTTTAACAAGTTACCTTAATTAAAGCGGCCAAGACTTGTACTTAACTTTTAGCCACCATTTTCGAATTTCGAAGTGAAGCTTACATGCTAAAATTGCCTTGTGTGTGGATGACACTGAGCCTAGTTGAAGGGCTATTGTGTTAAGATTGCTTATGTGTGACTTTGGGGCTAAGTTGAGGAAAATAATGAAGTCATAAATGGTTGGAAAATAGCTAAATACAAAGGGCATGCTACCCAAATTTTCACTTGAAAGTTAGGCGTGTGTACTCGCGACTTGAGTGAAGATTTAAGAACGAATTGGATTTGAATTGTCTAGGGTTTTCGAGTCTTCTTTCGTAGAGGTATATAAGTTGGAATTTGACCGAAACTCGTACCCTTGAAAAGATGAAAGTAGTGATCACTCGAAATATGTTTCTCTCGTCTTTTGAACTCAAATGCGAATTCCAAAGTTTTAGTTGCTTCTTTAGCAATACCGAAAAAGCGAGCATGAATTTTCTAGAATTTGATGCGTAACATTAATCCTATCTAAACGAGTTTCATTTATTTGATCTGTTTAAAGCAAGACTCTTAAGTGTCAAACCCTAGTTGATTTCAAGTTTTTAAATGATATTATATCGCAGATTTGGACTCCGACCAAGGAGTTACACCTGAACGTAATTTTGACAAGCACCAAACCTTTGGTGAGTGCTTCCAAATACCTGATTGCACTTGACACTTGTGTTTAATACTTGAACAATGTGATTACATGATATATGAGTGGAGTGATAGGGCAAGCGTGTACTTTATCGCACTTGTCGTAATATGATTTGTTCTTGGTCATTGATTTCAGTTGAATTGATATACATGCACATGAATTATATCTTGTCTGGAATTTCAAAAACCCTG